TCGCGTTTGACTTTGTTTGTCTCTGTTCATTTGGTTATGTCAACACGTAATTTAGGTCTTTCTTCCTTCATTTTCTGCGAATTTTGATTTAGGTGTTTGAAATTTCTCGTCGATGTCTGCGTCTAGAGATTTAGACTACTTTACTTCGATATTTCGAGTTCCTTTTTTGGTAAAATGATGAAATTGCCAAAAATAGATAGTTCTATAAAAGTAAGTAGGCAAGAATTTGTATCTCTGTATCTGAAGGTGTAAGCTCTCTGAAATTTGCAGACTCTTCTCCATCAATGGCTGAGAACACAACAGAGAGACATAATAGTTTCCAGTTTCCTTCTCCGTTGATGAGCCTAGTCCCGCCAGAGAACGCAGACAACTACTGTGTGATTAAAGAGAGGATGACTCAGGCGCTTCGGTATTTCAAAGAATCAACCGAACAACACGTTTTGGCTCAGGTCTGGACTCCTGTGAGAAAGAATGGTCGTGATTTGCTGACGACTTTGGGTCAACCTTTTGTTCTTAATCCTAACGGTAATGGGCTTAATCAATACAGGATGATCTCTCTCACATATATGTTTTCTGTGGATAGTGAAAGTGACATAGAGCTCGGACTCCCGGGTCGAGTTTTCAGTCAGAAATTGCCTGAATGGACTCCAAATGTTCAGTACTATTCCAGCAAAGAATTCTCGCGGCTTGACCACGCCTTGCACTATAACGTGCGTGGTACACTCGCCTTGCCTGTCTTTAATCGCTCTGGTCAGTCCTGCATAGGTGTTGTGGAACTTATAATGACCTCAGAGAAGATTCACTATGCACCTGAAGTGGACAGAGTTTGCAAAGCCCTTCAGGTTTGGCTCTCTTTCCTCACTTCACTTTTGCTCTGTTTATTCTTTATCTGAATTGGTTCCAAGAATTTGTGTGAATGGGCCAGACTTCTTGCCTCACTAGTTATATCGAGAAATAACTGCTGATAAAATGCTATTTATCTCCAAAGCACAGTTTATTCTTTGATAATGAGTCTGGCTGGCTTGTATCTTAGTTATAGCTTCTTTAGTATCTGTCATTATGTTGCATCTGTAGATAGTTCTTTGTTTTCGTGGTTTTCAATAGCTTTGAAGTAGTTTTTCGTACAGAGTTTTGTATTCCTAATTCCTCATTAATGTAACAAGATTTGGTAATTTTGGCAGGCTGTAAATCTGAAAAGCTCGGAAATACTTGATCACCAACCCACTCAGGTTAAGCACAAGTAACATTTGGTGCTTTGATGGGTATCATTTAGGCACCGGATTCTCATAATTTTAAGTTAACTTGGAATTTGCAGATATGCAATGAGAGTCGCCAAAACGCGCTTGCTGAGATTCTGGAAGTGCTGACAGTTGTATGCGAGACCCATAACTTGCCTCTGGCTCAGACTTGGGTTCCATGCCAGCACGGGAGCGTTCTTGCCAATGGTGGCGGTCTAAAGAAAAACTGCACCAGCATTGACGGTAGCTGCATGGGCCAAGTCTGCATGTCCACAACCGATATGGCCTGCTATGTCGTGGATTTTCATGTCTGGGGCTTTAGAGATGCCTGCCTTGAACACCATCTCCAGAAAGGACAGGGAGTCGCTGGACGGGCTTTTCTCAATGGTGGCTCGTGCTTCTGCAGAGACATCACAAAGTTCTGCAAAACGCAGTACCCACTGGTCCATTATGCGCTCATGTTCAAGTTAACCACTTGTTTTGCAATCTCTCTCCAGAGTTCTTACACGGGTGACGATAGTTACATTCTTGAATTCTTTCTTCCTTCGAGTATAACAGACCACCAAGAGCAAGATTCACTGCTGGGTTCTCTTTTGGTGACAATGAAAGAACATTTTCAGAGTCTGAGGGTTGCATCTGGGGTTGACTTTGGTGAAGATGACGACAAATTGTCTTTTGAGATCATCCAAGCATTACCGGACAAGAAAATTCATTCAGAAATAGAATCCATTCGAGTTCCATTTTCTGGTTTCAAGTCAAACACGAAAGAGACGCCATTGATTCGTCAGCCTGCGGTTCAGTCTTCTGATCCAGTAAACGAGGAAATCAACACGGCCACTGTTAATGGTGTGGTTAAGGAGAAGAAGAAAACAGAGAAAAAGCGCGGGAAGACTGAGAAAACAATCAGTCTTGATGTACTTCAACAGTATTTCACCGGAAGTCTTAAAGACGCTGCAAAGAGTCTAGGAGGTAATTTATATCTATGTACCGTTTCATATTTTGGTTGGTTACTGGCTAAACATCATTCAACTCTGAGATCTATATTGTTCTTGTCTCAGTTTGCCCGACGACAATGAAGCGAATTTGCAGACAACACGGAATCTCGCGGTGGCCATCAAGGAAGATCAAGAAAGTGAATCGTTCAATCACTAAGCTGAAACGGGTCATCGAATCTGTTCAAGGCACTGATGGAGGCCTCGACCTAACTTCCATGGCCGTTAGTTCCATCCCTTGGACACACGGTCAAACAGCAGCACAGCCACTAAACTCACCCAACGGTTCCAAACCTCCCGAGCTACCAAACACCAACAATTCACCTAACCACTGGTCAAGTGATCGCAGTCCTCAAGAGCCAAATGGTGAGCCTGAGTTACCAAGCAACGGTCAAAAGCGGTCACGAACGGTGGATGAGAGCGCTGGGACCCCAACCTCTCACGGCTCATGTGACGGTAACCAATTAGATGAAACGAAATTCCAGAACCAAGATCCGCTTTTCACGGTTGGTGGATCACCACCTGCGCTCCTTTTTCCACCTTATCCTAGAGATCATGATGTATCTGCCGCATCATTTTCAATGCCGAACAGGCTTCTTGGTACTATAGACCATTTCCGAGGAATGCCTATTGAAGACGCAGGAAGTTCAAAAGATCTGAGAAATCTCTGCTCCTCTGCAGCATTCGAGGATAGGTTTCCGGACTCAAACTGGATGAACAATGATAATAACAGCAACAACAACATATACACTCCTCCAAAGGAAGAAGCCGTTGCAAATATAACACGCGAACCATCAGGCTCAGAAATTAGAACAGTAACAATCAAAGCAAGTTACAAAGAAGACATTATACGGTTCAGGATATCCTCGGGTTCGGGTATAATGGAACTGAAAGATGAAGTGGCGAAAAGGCTGAAAGTTGACGCAAGTACGTTCGATATCAAGTATCTTGACGATGATAACGAATGGGTTTTGATAGCTTGTGATGCTGATCTTCAAGAATGTCTCGAGATCCCTAGATCCTCTCGTACCAATATAGTACGGCTTCTGGTTCATGATGTAACAACGAACCTCGGGAGCTCCTGTGAGAGCACGGGAGAATTGTGACCCGAGGTAAATTTATTCGGACTCTTTTGTAAATAAGATTTTTTTAATTTTTTTTTTTACTCTTTAGAGTTTGTTTTGATTGTAACGGTAAGAATCAAGAATGTGTTAGGAGACAAACGTGTAAGAAAAACATTTGTTTGTAACTGCAAAAGGAAGAGTGATGTTAGAAGTAAATTTTAGTCGTACACCAATTCATGTTTATTTCTTTGTAATTTAAAATTGAAAATATGAATCAGAGAAAAGTCAGTTTCAAAAAGTTTTTAATTTGTATTATAATTGTTTTAACAAGCTATATTCATATTGAATCATTAATGTATTTCAGTAATTAGTATCTTTTATGCATTCAAGTTATTTTAAAACTCAAATTGAATTGAAACACAACCAATCCACATTTTATCAAACTAAATCAAAACACAATTGAATTACAAATTGTAGCATCCCGTTCCAAAATAAGTTATTTACGGCAAGAAAAAAAAGTTTTCACTGGTGACCATTAGAGGAACAAAATGAATGACGAAGAAAATGAATGAAAATGAACAAACATTTTAGGAATGCGAAGGAATTGTAAAAAAATTGGTTCCTCTTATTCCTTATCAAATTTGATTAGAAATAATTTTGTTCTATAAATTCTTTGCAGGAGTTGGAATGAAAATGATGAAAAGGATTCATGATAATTACTAAAATTCCTTATAAATGGTGTAATTTTTGAAGAATGGAAAGGAATTCATTGTTTCTCTTTATTATTTTTTCTTGTAGTGCCATTTGGAGCCTTAGAGAATCTAATTATGTCTCTTTACAATTGATTGTGGAGAGAGATTTGATAGTCTTCTCCTCCTTTGTGGAGGATGAAACATTCCCAATTTCCTCCTTTGTGGAGACAATTTCAACCATTATTGATCCAAAATCAGTTTCAGATCTGCTTGTAATGAATCTTGAAAGATTAAGCCTCTTCGACTGATCCTTTTTGGAAAAGTTTATATCAACTTCCTTACACCGAGGCCGGGAGAGATTGCTATCACCATTCTTCTCCGGCATGGAGAGACATTTACCAGCACAATCCTCCTTTACGGAGTCTTCAACGATCTCAACCGAATGGTTCGAGTTCTATTTCAAGTTCGAGTCGCTCATGATGCTCGTGAAGCTGCAAATCTTGTCCTCCCACCACATTGATCTCTACGGGATCCTTCAGAAACTTGGCAATTGAAGTTGTATGGTGTATTATCTTAAGTAATTTTAACTTTTGTTTAGCCACTGAGTTGGCCATTTGTAATGCAAAACGAGTTGTAAAAGCTCTAATCTCCTATAAGGATCTTCAAGTCTAATTAATGGACACTTTTTTTATGTCATCTGAATTTTATTACAAACATTGGAATAATACAAGGGTAGAATACATTTTTGGAATACGTTTTTGGAATACAAAGCCGACGGACTACAAAATCCGCGGAGTCTAAGCCCTGCGTAAGGGAGATGTGAATAAAGCCAAAATACAACTAAGGTCCAAATGAGAAGAGAACAACCATTCGAGAAAGAACAACATCAACCACCACCGATGAACGAGCTATATCAAAACAAACCTCACCAGAAGAAAACCTAAACCTTGTTGTTTAACCGTGAAAGCATAACGAAGGCCAAGGAGACCCAATAAATGATATGCGGCTCCTCCTATGATGAATAAGTATACCTAACCAAATTAATGTTCCTAGGAAACATTTATGGTTTATGGTTTAAGTATATCAAAAGTATGAAAACATTTATGGTTTTTTATTCGATCGTTCTTTTGACTTTAGAAGGTTATTGTAGTATTTTTGCAAATGCTTTTAGAAAGATAAGCAGTTTGATGTTACATGATCTGAATTGTTATAGAGTTAAAATTACTTCGAGAAGGTTGATGTTGACGGCCAACCGCGATAAATCACGCATCTTCTACTAGTTTTGTAGTCTTTAACATATTTTCTCATCAATTTGGTTTCGAAAAAATATTTGCATATGGTTTG